ATATATATATATATTATGTTAAGTGGAGAGCTTGAGCTATGTTAGCTAGCTAGGGTTCCAAAAAAGTTGGATCATTTAGCTATTGTTCTTCATTTGTAATTCCTTTTTTTTTTTTAACTTTATTTTTCTTTTTAACAGTAGTAACTTGATTAGAAATTGATCATGATGTTAATTTGTTTAATTTTTATTTTATTTTATGTGTTATATATTAAATTAACTTTTCCTTGTTAATTAATGTATGAAAGATTTCTACAAGCTTCTATTTTTTTTGTTTCTTTTATTCCAATGGATATTGCAAATATAATTTAGTAGTATATATATGTACAATATCGATCATAATAATTGTAAATGCAATATTAATTTAGTTAATACTATTTATGAAAATAGTACCATATATCTTCCGATTTTCCTTACATTTTACTTTATTTTTTGAATATATCAACTTCATATTGAATTTCAATACTTTGTATAAATATCATAGTTATATGGCAATGCTATTATCAATTATATTTCAATTACCATGATTAAATATGAAATGAAATAGAGGATTTCAATTGATATACACGTGTTTATAAATTTGGGAGATTCTACGGTCACAGAACCATTTCGTCAGGATTTGTAAGTTATATCAACCATCCACGGCGATTACATGATGATTTAAAGATTATAAATCCCTACGAAATGATTCCGTATCATTCCCTATAAATTTTTGTATATATGTGGCCATATTTATTAGGTCGACAGCAAGGATGTCGACCTAAAAAAAAAAAAACAACAACAACATTAAATAAGCGGAAAACGCAACATTAATTCCGTGGCCAAAAGAAAGGAAAAGTATGCATCAAATTGGTGAACATCATGACTTAGTAAATAAATAGCCCCACCACAAATAAAACAAAAAATTGAATGGCTTTTCTGATAAAATTGAAATAAATAAATAAATAAATAAAATAAAACCATGCCCAACTTTGCATTTTAGCTACTACGTGATAAATCCAATTCATTGTGTATATAATTATATATTTTTATTTTTTCATTTTGACATAATTTTAAAATTTGTTCTATAATTTGACCACTTTCTAAAAAACCACTTCGATATTGACTAATTTCAAACTAGGTCCAATAATTTGACAATTTAATCAAATTAAATTTGATTAAATTGTCAAATTATTGGACCTAGTTTGAAATTGGTCAATATCAGGGTCGTTATACCACAAATACTTGAACCGCTGGACCGCTCTTCTCGAACTAGGTTGCGCCTCCTTGATCGTCGGTACCTGCAAAGCACGCCGGGGGTGGTCTCGGCGCGAACACTCCGTCGCTCAAGTCAGTGATGGTCTAGAGAGAAAACGGCAGAGTAACGAGATAACTCGTGAATGTGTGTTGTGTAAAATGAATGAACCTGCTCCCTTTTATAGGAGAAATTTGGAGAGTCCCAGTGGGATAAGAAGTCTTCTTCTAATAAACCTCTTAATTAGGTTAAGGGTCTCTTGAATTCCTAGAGTCCTTGCTGCTATCAACTTCCTCGTAACTTGACCACAAAGCCACCTTCAGGTTCTAATCTTTTCGTCGGCACACGAGGGCCGCCGAGCACTTCCCATGACCGAGCACTTGAGAGGCGCCGAGCACCGTGCGACGCCGAGCACTTGAGAGGCGCCGAGCACCGTGCGACGCCAAGCACTCCCAACCACCCAACTACCACAATGTTTGGCCGGTCCCCTTCACATGACAATGACGACCGGATCCCAACCGGCTCTTCACGAGCCACTACTAACGACCACATCAGGGGTGGTTTTTTAGAAAGTGGTCAAATTATAGGACGAATTTTGAAATTATGCCTTTTATTTTTTTTTCATTTTTTATTTTTTATTTTTTTGTTTTGCTGTATATTGGTAAGTGTGTGACCGCAGCTCCAAATGATGTTAAGCCAGGGGCACATGTTGAACTATTTAATTGCAGCCGATTAATAAATATATAATATACCTAATTATTATTGTTATTAGGGTATTTATTTCCACAAAACATGTTTGTGTGTAATAAGGAAACTTATCGAAAGATAGCTTTTCTTAAGGATGAAATGAAATAATTTTGGGACAGCAAGAGACTCATGTCACGAAAGTCTTGCCTATTGACATATGGTAAAAATAAATAAATAAATAAATAAAATGTCGTGATTTTCTAACTATGTATCACTTAAAAAAAAAAAAAAAAAAAAAAAAAAAAAAAAAAAAAAAAAAAAGGAAAGAAACATGTGAGCTTCTTTGCCTTTTTGGGGTTATGAGGAACTATAACATTATATAAAATCATTATGAGGAAAAAAAAATGTTCGGTATAGATTAAAAAAAAAAAGTAAAGTAACTAAACACGAAAGTTATGTTCATTTTGATTTCTGTCTGACGAAAATACTATCAAAAAATCGTCATATTTAAATGGATATATTGCAATGGGATATAAGTCCAATTGTAAAATATTTCAATGGTATTTTCAATGTTATAGATTTCATTGGAAAGTTTCACTCCATTTTAAAACGCAACATTACATAAACATAGACAAATCATATATAAACATGAGTAAAAAATATATAATCTACTAAAGCATATGGAGGTTTGAAGTTGTCAAACAAGCTTGCATCCAAAATATCTAGATTAATGAGCACTACAACTTAATTAGAGTGTGTTTGGTAAATATAACAAAATAACTTATAATTTATTTAGTGAAGTCACAAACTTTTTTATGTTTTAAAACATTATTGAAATGCAATTTACTTAGATAATATTATTTGCCATATATACATAATTTTGAAAGCAATCTAATAACAATTGTCATGGGTTAGCATGCATGTGATCATATACAATTGTCACCCCTATGGTTATGACCATCATGAGTAGCCTTCTTTGTAGCAAGTAATAATGAGATAAAAACATTTGGCTTTTTAAGGGACCACTTCATGCAAAAAATAAATAATACACACAATCAAATCCATAAAATAATAGTACAAATTAAGATTGTTTTTAACCATATAACTAAGCAAAAATTTTATGAGTCATTAGATGGCAGGGGCGAAGCCAGCCTCAAATTTCACCGGGGTCGGCAATATTTTTTAGCGGGGTCATTAACCTAGTAAACAGTGTTTGAACAGTATTTTATACTAAAAATTTTGAAATCTATAGGGGTCAGCTGACCCCTACATTAGCATGTAGCTTCGCCACTGTTAGATGGTCTATGTATTGATACATGTCCAAAGTGTATTTATTGTATGACACGCGTCAGTATTGTTGGAAGTATTTTTACCGAAGTAGAATCGAAAGATTCGTTCCCCGGGTCGTATCACAAGGAAGGTCAGCCGGAATAAATAATACACACAATCAAATCTACCCCTTTTTCTTCAGCTCGCATGCTTGGCTACGTCGCTCGGGTACTGCCCAAGCTGAAAACTTAATTCTCGCATGCTCGGGTCTTGCAAAATGCTGCTCGAACCATCCACTTCTCGTCACGAATGAACACTCGCCAGCCCGATCAACCTACAACCTGAAATCGCACCACCGAAAAAAAACACGAAAGACAGAGAAAGTAAGAAAGAAAACACAGAAAAAACCTAAACACACCAAAATAACGATAAAACGCAAGAAACGACAAAAGAGGCCTGAAATACCTAAGAAAAGACCTAAAACGGGGGAAACGACACACAAAATATCAACAAAAATAGTAAAAAAAAACCGGGACAAACAAATATAATATTTGTAAATAAATATGGATGACTTCATAAGTCAAGTCATCTGATGATTCCATAATAAAACTGCGTAACGAAGTTAAACAATTATACTTATTCAATATATATGCATACTTTTAAGCAGAAATATTATATACTATATAATAATAAGTATCATACTCTAAATAATATCAATATAATAAAAGTATGATATTCTACTAAAAAAAAAAACACCCAACAAAATTCACAAAATAAAATTACTAAAGTTGCTGGTAGGCAGACCTAAATTAGACTATACTTATTTAATAAATATGCATACTTTTAAACTGAAATATCATACTTTAAATAATAATAATTAATAATAATATAAAACAGCTATGCTTCTCATATTATATTATATTATCATAACATACATTGGTGAATAAACAATGATGAATTATTGTGGGTGAAGGAATATTGTTTGCCTTGATTTACACGTGGCATGTGTGTGAAGTGGCCACGTTTACAGTTGGAGTGCCCCGGGTTGAAGGCATCTGCCTAAAGCACAAATCCTTAATTGCAAAATCTTTTGACTCATTGTATAGTCTTAGATCTTTATCTCAAGGTTTAAGGCGTTTAAAGTGAGTTGTTTATTTGGACAACCTATATAAATCTTATAATTAATTAGTTTCAACTTTCAACAAAGTTCAGATTTAATTAGACATGTCCGGCCCGGCCCGTCAGGTCGACGGGCCCCAAACCGGCCCAGCTATATCTTAGGGCCGGTTCAAATGAGTAAATAAAATAAAAATAACTACGATTCGTCTTCCAACCTAAAACAAGCGGATCAAGAAAGGAAAAATAAGATTGTAGACATATCAAGAAGCATCACAATAGGTTATAAGCAAAAAATCGTTTGATATTCATTCAATTCTTGTAAAGCATGCATTTAATCTACCATTAATTATAGCCTTAAATCAAGGGGTAATGCATGTCATGAATGCATAAAAGATCTACTACTAGAAAGAAACATGACGTGACAAAGCCAACGAGACTTTGATATTCATTGGCCATTATTGACTATAAATTAATCATAATTTATTTTTGAAAGCTACGACAAAAATATGATTAAATTCTATATATGTGCACTTTAATTTCATTTTTTAGCACTAAATTAATTACGGTAGGGGCTCATTCACAACGTTACGGCTCTTGCTTGGAG